AGTTTATGTATTTAAAGGGCTTTTCACATAAAGCTACTGTAAAGTGAGCTACAATTATAAAATGTGACGAATTACTTCGCTTTGGGTTTACTAGGTTAACTAAAGCGGCTGATGGACAACACTTTTCCTCAGTGTTTAAGACGGCTATCATCAATAGTTTTATATTGATAACGGATGACAGCACTACTTGGCCATCCACATCACTCTAAAAGAATGCTTATATTTCTCCATATCTGCTGGGTTTGTTTATAACAACTGTTTGCTAACAATTATGCCATATCAACTTAAAAGGTGGTAATATGTAGAATACACATCTGGTTCCTGTTGTACCAAGTTGGCCAAAAAAATACAATGATGAGATAATTGTCTTCCCCCCTTTTTTCTATGTTCAATATCATAACAATTGTTTTTTATAATCTATTCACAGGGTCTCCAAGCAAAATGGTATCTCTTTCTTGGTGTTAATTAATGGTAAACCTTCATTAATCTTGCAGGTTGGATATCATAATGTACCAAAAGAGCTAAAAACCGATGACCGTGATGTCAAAAGCTTCTGGCTTTATTGTACAGTGAAAACACGTTTGTGATAATATATCCCCTGGCAAGTTTATGATCATATATTTCCAGAGTGGTTTCTGAGACTGTGTTCTATCTCTGATCCTTAAATAGCTCCATCTAGATGTATCTCAAATCAGTGGGTCACTATTTTGAAGTAGGTCAAAGCGCTGCTCTGACAAGACTGGCCGCAGTTACTCTTCCACTTAGGGGATAAGATGTCCGTTTCTAAAGACTTGCTGCGTTTTCAGGCAAAACGTGTCTTTTGTATGAAGCTCTTTTATTTCTCTTCATCTTCCCACTTTCAGTTAAAAGATAGTCCAACATTTTTCAAAATAATCTTATTTGAGTTCTTGCTTGAAGTCCAAAGAGAAGATCAATACCACTCACATCAGGTTGTTCAGTCTGAAGCTGGAGCCTGGTAACAGCTAGCTTAGCTTAACATATAAACTGGAAACGGGGTAACCTTACCAGTGGCGTAGCCAGGAATTATTGTGTGGGTGGGCCTGGAGAAATGTAGGTGGGTCAGGGGGAGACTTATTAAGCGTGGGGTCTGAGCTGAAACTTCATTAATGATTTTAATAATTTTTGAATGCACTAATTGAACATAAGCATAAACTAGCAGTGAAAACAAAAACATAGGCACGGCGGCCTCAGAATGTGTGTAAAACTGACTTCCATATGACTGGCTCGGCGGCCATAGGTTTTTTATCCTTGACAGTCGCACAGTGGGCACACACTGGAAGTGTTTTCATATTCAGCAAATGTGTACACGCTTCACTGCAGACTTCACTCACGGCAAAACTTACTTTACTTACTAATTTACTCACGGTAAAAAAATGCACTCCCTATTCCATTGTCATGAAGGTGGAATCTTCTATATCCAGAATAAGTTTGATTGGATCCAGGGTAGAAACATGTTTATTTCTGCTGTAAAATTGGGCATTTTAACATGGGGGTCTATGGGAATTGCTCCTTTCTGCATCCATCCCCTGTCGGCCACTAGATGAACTGCAGTTTGTGGTACTTCCTTCTGGGCTATGACGCGCTGATTGGCTGTGGGTGGGCCCAGGCCTAAGCCACTGAACCTTACTCTGTTAGAAAGCAACAGAATCCATCCCCTAGCATATTTTGAACTCATCAGTTTGTCATGGTGTCCATCACTTGTTTAATCTGTAGAAAACCAAAGGGAAAAAATGTGTGGTTTACAAGGGGTTGAGTTTGGGACTAGTCCGTGGCCAAGAGCAGTGACTTCCCAGACTCTCCTCTGCTTGCATTTCGATACCTTCAGGGTTGCTGTTTCTAGTCTTTTCGGTCTTTATGCTCAGTAAGCTAACTGGCTGCTGGAAGGATACATACTGAAAAGACAGAGGAGAGTGGTATTGATCCTCTCATTTATATATTGGCTAGAAAGTAAATACACATCATTTACAAACTGTCATACTATTTATTTAAGCCTCAAATTAGCTTTCCTTAAATACAAATAAGAGGAGCTGTTATCAGTGCCGCAAATCATTTCATAAATGGATCAACTTTCTGTGAGCATGACAAATGAGTACCTTAAGGGCACTAAGATTTCACATCAGTTGTGAAGCAGTTGTATCAATTGTGTGCCAGTTGGAAATCTTTGGCTTTAGCAGAACAGAATTTCATTATTACTGTTCACCCACATAAACCGGGGTAATGATGTGACTGAACTTTACTTCGCCTGTGAGTTGTTTTTCCTCAGGAAAAGCTGCTGACCAAAGTACTGGATTTTATATCTGCTCAGTTATGCAGTGGTATTTAGGCAGCAACCAACACTCTAATAGTTACGCAACGATCCAAAACCATGTATTTATACTGTAGCTGTGTTAAATTAACTTTTTCTGCTTTTCTACATTCACTACTGAATGTTGCTTGTGTGAGTTAAGGTCAACAGTGACGAAGACCTAACAAATGTACTCCCTTTTCCATATTACCCTCAGCGGTAAATAAAACCATAAAATGGTAACCTTTTGGCCATGTGGATGTCATGGCACCCCATAATTGCCAAATGTTCCAGTTTTAAGGCCTACACCAAATGTTACAGCAGAGAAGTCCACAGGGGAAAAGTTAAAGAAAAAGAAAGGAGCCTGTGCTACTAAATGAATAACATTTAAGCGAGGGGAAAAAATGAGGAACCAGTCATTTCAGATACAGATGGCTAACTTCAACACATATTTAAATGGTTTTCTAAAACTATTTAAATGATTTAAGTTGGAATTTCAGCTGTCCTTAGTGACAGCGAAAACCATTGATCCATTGTTTTAGACTTTGGGGGACTGCACTGTCCATTTGTGAGGACCAGTGATCTCTTTTTGCAGTGAAACGATGTGAATTCTTTCATTAGGGCCTTTTCTACTAGGCTCCCAATTAGCAGTGCCTTCTGAACAATCTGAGACTGTTCGTGGTCTCCTCTGGGAAACAAAGAGCAGTTTAGACGCAATTAAACTCATGGTTTGTTGGTGGCCTAGGGCCTTTGCTCTGGCTACAGTACAGAGACAGTGAGAGAACATCTTTAGTGGTCTAGAAAATGGAAAAAGACGAGTTCCAGGCAAGACTGAAAAAATAACTTTACTAGTAACATATGTGGTTCAAAGGGCTTTAAAAATTAAAGAGGCAATCAAAGAGGTTTAAAAAGCAATTTATCTTTGCTTGAAAGGGAGTCTAGCTTACAACAAGTGACGTGTTGGCTAAGGTCTGGTGAGGTTGGCTTCAAAAAGTGTTAGAGTTACAAGAAACCCGTAAAGATCTGGATAATTCAGTAAATCTCAATAGCAGTCTGACTGATTAAAACAAACTTCAATATGTTTCCTTGATAGCACAGCAGCCTCTGCATCCCACTTGGTTTACACGTAAAGCTAAGGTTTGGCGATCTCCTCTGGTATACTGCACAAGGCTGACTCATCGAATCAAGGCATAAGGACTGAGAAGGAAGGAAAATTCCACTAAAACAATAACAGTGCGTCAAGGCAGAAAGTGTTTGTTTTAAGGCAGCTTTTCTCAGCTGTTGCTGTAGACCGAGCAGCAGGAAGAAACTGCAGGTGATTGTAGGCTATTCAAGTCTATCTTCGAGGTGGTAATTTATGTGGATTTTGCTTCCTAAGAACCTCAGAGCACTAGATTGCCAAGTGCAATGAGATGACTTCAAAGGCAGAGGGAAGCCTTTATGGCTTGATGATGAATCTCACAAAATGCAGCTAGTGTCAGCCAGGCATGTTAAAGTCCAACTGGATTTAATGAAATGTCAAATATAGAACCCTGATTATCTTAACAGCCACTGGTGCTCCTTTTCTTGCAGTTAAAGTATCCTGAAATGTTCTTAGCAATCATTCACAGGTTAAACATTCCCATGGTGAATGAGAAGCATTATACCTCTGCAAAGAAAATAAACCCACATTCCCTTTTCACCTGCAAAGAATTTAACAAATCTGTCTGCTCTAACTCCCCTTTGATAACGCCCTTTTCCTTTCTTACTTAAACAGAGGAGCGCGTGAGTGGGACTGAGGCTTAATAGTTTCCAGAAGTTGTTCCAGTCTGTGAAGGTGTGTGTTCACAGGGAAGTATGGGGGAGCTGTTTTTAAGCTGCTCAATGTCTGCCTGCAGATCACAACATGACTGTTAGCATTCAGAAGATCTTATCCTGAACCACACAGATACACATCAGTGATGCACTGCTACTCATGCTGGCAACATCTGATCATACAGTGGAAAACTTACTGTGATGGTTATGTATGTTCCACATAGACAGGTATATTGTTCTAAGAAAGCCTCCTTCACGCATTAAGAAAGCAAACAAAGATATTCTTTAATTCCCCATTGTAGTAAAATAAATGTTGTTTGATTGGGGAATATACACTGCTGTCATCACATCAACACTACACTCAGTAGCCTAAGATCTGGTGAACTGCCTGAAGCAAAGATACATACATTACAGCTCCACAGAAGCCTCCCACTGACATTTCCAAAGACATGACACCAAGTTTTACCTCTCCGTCACTTAAAACTAATGCATCTGTTTGCTCGTTTTTCAAAAGCATGCACGCATTGATCAGTAAACAAGTGGTTTAAGCAGGTACTGGGGCCTATGCTACCATTGCCATGACTGAATGTCAGTGTAAATGTGTGAGAGCGCCTGTATCCAGAGGAGGACAGGAGGAGATGTGCGATCGCTGCTGTGACATGGCAATATTCACATGTGGCACTGGGAGACAGAAACAAAAGATCGCTTTAATTGTCTCGCCTCGGTTTCATCTCCCTCCACGTTGCTCCACTCATTCCTTCAGGGCACAGTCTACTAGTCTCACACGCAGACACAAACACAATAAATGCAGTGATAATTAGCATGCACACACTTATATAGTTATTGGTTTTAGCATTTTTTTTTGCAAGACTGTGGAAACCCTTAAATCAGCTCTGCTTACCATCAATTGCCCTTGCCGGAGAGAATACTTCCAAACTGTGCAACAATCCCAAGAAAAGCAATCCTGTTGCCAACATGTTGGCCACGGTGCACAACATTGTTGCCTATCTTGAAAGATTATTAGTCATCAATCGCCTCTTGGTCCTGTCAAGCTGGAGGTTGCAGACAGGCGACGACGTGAAACCGTGCCCAGGCGAAGATGCTCCTCACTGGGAAGCCTCTTTCTGGGTGCGCACTAGAGCTGACAGGGATGCTGCTGTCTGCCCACTCGGAGAATGTTTTTTGCAGACTGTCAAGGCAAAAAAAAAAAAAAAGCCGAGGCTTCTCCCAGCCCGGGTTGTTTAGGGGCTCCTCGGATGCATGGACAGCCCTGCCACAAAGGCTAGCAGGCTGAACGGAGCATCAAGCTAGCCCGGCTCACAGTCGAGATGAGAGAGAGCTGGCGCCTCTTATCATGCAGCTGTCCGTCTTTTGTTCTTCCTGCCCCAGTGAAAGAAGCCACAGGAGGAATAAAGTATTGGATCAAATGTTCCTCTCCTCCCCACCACCTCTGCTGCTGGCCGCAGATTGAGCCTGAAGCCTGGAGCTCAGTCAGTCAGCGGGTGAGTGACGTCGGCTGGCCCTCCCCTCTGGAGCACCCGACACCCCTCCATCCACCTCCATCAAATCACACTCTGCTGTAATCTGCAACAATGCTCTGGGTCCTGTCTCACCCCCACACTCAATAATTTAGTGCGTAGCCATGATTGTCCTTTGTATATATATTTATTTATTATTCATTGTCTGTTAATCCAACGAGCAAGTGTTTACAACTTTGTATGTTGTGCTAATGTTGATGATGGTTGGCCTGCATGTATTATTGTAACCAAAACAACAACAATTTAGGTCTAATAATAATAACTAATGATGATTGCTTCTCCCCTCCTGAGCTTTGCTAATTGTTATAGACCAGCTAAGCAACTCTAATCAGTATTTAATTAGACACTAAAAAGGGAGAATAATGAAAGCACTTTGCACAAATGAAAAAAACAAGTAATCAAATGAGCTATTCATTAGAGTGGTCAATAAATATGTTCTTAAAAAACAATTATCTTAAAATACATACATTTTAACAGATGATATATGAATAACACAATACATCTACAAACAACAGCATATGGAAAAATAAAAGGTATAAGACTTGACTAAGTAAAACCTTTTGATTGAGATCAATCCTGAATAATTAAAGACATGCTCCCTAGGGAGTAATCTCACAAAAACTAAGAAATAGGAAAATATCTTCCTTTTTTCGAAAGCAATCTAAAAACACTTTTTAAAAATGAAATTATAGAATGTACATTTGTAGTTACCACACGGATCCCCATTGACATTTCCATTTGGTCTTACACCAGATGAATTAACAGACAATTGATAAGATGTAAAATGACAAACCAGCATAAGGAATGACTAATTTAGACAAATTCAGCCACCATGACAAATTGTCATCACCAGCATCTTTTCTCCATCACATCCCTATGGAAGAAGAAGCCAGCAAAAGTGTACGCAACAATTGACAGCAATGACCCTTTTGACTTTTCATCAAGACAGTGATACTACCACAAAGGCAACTTAGCCCTCACATTTATGTTGGGCCGAGTGCTGACTTGACTTTTATCTAGCCTTCAAAACCACATTGAAAATTCTCCCAAAAGACATTTCCAGAAATCTGTATGGTTGTAAAAACAGAGAAGCTTTTCCACTTTTCCAGCTATTACCATCATTGCTGCAGCACACTGTCAAGATTCCTGGCAGGAGTCTGCAGACACTTTAGGGCCTTAATGATATTATCATAGACTCACCCTCACTTACATTTATCCTGTACAAAGTACTTAATATATATGTTATCCATAAGTATACGTTGGGATGTGAGTTAAAGCCAAAAGCATTTTTTTGTTTACACATTAGGTCAAAGTGTGATCATATTTCTCTTGAATATAAGTAACATAATGTACTAAGAGACCTTTTAACACAATAATGAAAGTGTTGGCCAGCAGCTTGAAAGAAAAGGCCAGAGTGTCTCATTCTTGTAGTTTTTATCACAAACGGCAGACCATTATCCTTATGTTGAATTATTTGTAACATGTTATAAAACAGGGCTGTTCCATAAACATAAACAAACCATTTTTATATTTGCATATATTATATAATATGCCCATTGCATCGGATTCTATTGTTTTTTTGTAATTTTTAAGTGTGTACATCTTCACCAAGCCTCTAAACTTTCTAAATAAGTTGTTGGTCCTGCAACGATTATTACACCCTGGGCTTTGGGAGAGTATAAAGTAATGTAATGCTCGAATCATCAAGTTAATTCACAATGCAATAGTGTCAAGGTAAAGTAGAAAGACTATTATATTGTTTATGTCAGGTCTGAAATCATATCATTAGTGATTCCAGTTTGACTTGTAATCAGCTCACATAACTGAATGAATGAATGAGTCCAGTTTTTCACAGATTTTCATTTTCCTGATCAATTGTTCATTCCAGTCTACTTTTAGACTTGCCATTTCAGTTTGAAATATGTTTAGGAAACATAGTATAGCTAAATCTTATACATGTTTAATATGTTTAAGAAAGCACAAGTAAAACATGTTTATCTATTGAAGACAATACTACTCATACAGCAACACATATACATACAGAAAGCACTTTTATTAAATATCCCTATACCAAGTGCTGTACTTTAAACATGGCCATCAGCCACCTGGAGCTTTCTGATTAACGCTGCACGGCACTGACACCTAGTGGGTCTGCACTGCCAGTATTACATTTCAAAGAAAAATAGCTTCTTTGTGTAAAAAAGGAAGCCTTTATATAACATAGCACCAAGGTAACTTCAGAGGAGGGAGAAGTACTCTGATCTTGTGTAAAAGTAGAGTAGTGTTGGAATACTCAGTTACAAGTAAAAGTCCTGCATTCAAAAGGTTACTTGGGTAAATGTACTGTACAAAAGTATTAGAATCAAAATATACTTAAAGTACCAAAAGTAAAAGTACTCATTATGCAGATTGGCCCATATCCAATTGGCCAATTATATGTTTTGATTATAATTGTTGATGCATTAAAGTGTTATCAAAGCTGGTAAAGGTGCAGCTAGTTTTAATTACTTTGTACACTGCAGGCTGGCTTGTGAATTTACTCCAGGTGTAACTAAAATCTCATTGGAGTGTTGAGTATATTTCACATCATTCATCCACATATGTAAAGTAACTAAAGGTAAACAATAAATGTAGTGGAGTAAAAGAACACCATTTACTGAATGGGTGGAGTAGAAGTAAGAAGTAGCACAACAGGGAAATATGCAAGTAAAGCATAAGTATCTCAAGATTGTACTTAAGTACAGTACTTGAGTAAATGTAGGCTACTTATGCCCCGGCCACACGAGGACGAAAACGGCCGTTTGCGTTACTGTTTAGTGTCATATAGACCATTCGGCCTTACGAGGACGACCGAATACGACACTAAACGACTGAGGAAACGATAACGGGTCCCAAGGTGGATAGAACGGCATACGCAACGCTCTGGGGGGTCAAACGGCTCCGTGTGTACGCCCTATACGAACATGTTCTGATATTAGGCTTGTTTGAGACGTGTTGCGGCTCGCCTCGAAAGTAGACGAGAATAGCCGATCGCAGCCGGGGGAGGTCTCAAAAAGCTCGCCTGAAGTCGGACAGCTCGGAGTCGGCTTCGTCTTCTTCTTCTTCTTCTCTCCGTTTTTTGGCGGATTTCAAACAACTTTAAGGTGCATACCGCCACCTCCGGAGTCGGCTTGACTCGGTTTGCATTTATAAAGAATGCACACATGTGTTTAATCGTTAATGTCAGATATGTACTAAGAAAATACAGCTCAAGATTAGATTCAACTTTATTGTTATTGCACATATTACAGGTACTGAGACAACGAAATGCAGTTTAGCTTCTAACCATGTGCAACAAGCAGTAAAGTGAAAAGTAATGTACACAATAGACAGAATAAAATATAGAATGAATTGAATGATGAATAAACAGTGAGGGGTATGAATACACTAGATATACACAGCAGCTTGTGAGCAGTATGAACAGTGTGTATGAATATGCTAAGATATATAAAGTATGAAAACGGTAAGCAGTGCAAGTATAGTATAAAATATATAGATATTAATTTCATGATGATAAACATTGGAACAATGTGGAACAATGATGACAAATGTGAATGGAAGTGAAAACTGACACAAAAACAACAACAAACTTTTGCCGAGCCAATTGGAGAGTTTCATCAGCAGCACGGGGAAAAAACCCACCAATGAGCGCTCAGCTCGAGATACCAGCGAGTCGTTTCCCATCAAGCATTTCGCTTCCGCAGCCCGTGGAGAGGAACTGCGCTGCCTCGCCGCGCCTCGCTCTCAAGGCTGCGGGCGTCTTTGTCCCGCGAGATTTCAACGTCTCATGTAGACGAGCCTCCAGAGCAAGTCGGACAAAATGACTAACCATCATGCAACGCACTAGCAAGACGTTGATCGCAACTGCGCAGGTCTCGCTTGTCTCAAACAAGCCTAGTGATTGCGCAATAGCAATAGCCCCGCCTCTCCCCACCTCTTCTGCTCACCTCCGCTTACCCCGCGCCATTGCTGATGTGTTTCGCCACCAACAACAACAACAACAACAATGGCGGATCGCAGAGTTGCTATCGTGCTCCGGACGCTACTGACCATGCTACAGTTCTTTGTGCAACATCTACAGCAGACTTACACATCCGGGGGGGATCTTACTCGCTGCTTTTGTGGATATGTACTGCAGCTTCAGCGATCATTTTCTGATAATGATTGCGCAATAGCCCCGCCTCTCCCCACCTCTGCTGCTCACCCCCGCGTTAAAGTAAACTGCACACTGAATTCAGATTATTTATCTTTCTCTCGATATGGACATAAACGCGAGAGAAGTCTAATCTGACAGGACGGAGACACCTCTCAAACTACCTAAACTAGTTATAAATATGTTTATTTTTACTGTCGGCAGGGTCACTCATTACTGGATCAGCTGCTACATGAAACAGACAGTAGGCTTGTTTGAGACAAGCAAGACCTGCGCAGACCTGCGCAGTTGCGATCAACGTCTTGCTAGTGCGTTGCATGATGGTTAGTCATTTTGTCCGACTTGCTCTGGAGGCCCGCCCACATGAGACTTTGAAATTTCGCGGGACAAAGACGCCCGCAGCCTTGAGAGCGAGGCGAGGCGAGTTGGCGCAGTTGCTCTCCACGGGCTGCGGAAGCGAAATGCTTGATGGGAAACGGCTCGCTGGTATCTCGAGCTGAGCGCTCATTGGTGGTTTTTACCACGTGCTGGTGATGAAACTCTCCAATTGGCTGGCAAAATGTTGTTGTTGTTTTGTGTCAGTTTTACGTCGCCACTTCCATTCACATTTTTCATCATTGTTCCACAATATTTATCATCATGAAATGAATATCTATAGGCCTATATGTTATACTATACTTGCACTGCTTACCGTTTTCATACTTTATATATCTTAGCATATTCATACACACTGTTCATACTGCTCTCAGGCTGCTGTGTATATCT